TATAGCGAAGACTGTTTGGATAATAAAAAGCCCAAAAAAAAATTTCACTCCCAAGTGCCCACAAACATGCATCTCTACCTTAATTGGTGCCATTTATGTACAAGTGAATCAATAAATTCATAATGTTACCAAACCTTTTTTTTTAGAGAAAGTAAATTTTTTTTTCTGAGATTGTGTCAGTGCTTTGTCAAAATGGCTTAGTTAGAGGGCACACTGATAGGGACTGTGTCTCACAAAATAATGGGAGGGCAGAGTGCTTTAATTCAATTATAATGCCCCAAAATGTTGAAAATATTTTAATTATGTTGCAGCACTATCCAGTTAACGTCTGATAACTGGCAGCATGTGGTACTGTTGACCAATGGGAACACACTGTTGCAATACAAAGTATAAGTTATCTGTGATTTTTTTAAACAAGGAAACAGGAGCACAGCACTCATGCCATGGCCATGCGCCCCCTTACCCTGGAGAGTAGATCCTCTGGCAACCATAAAATTCTGATTGACCAGGGATCACATGTGACCACAGTCTTCAACTTTAACCTGTCTGATAGTAATTTTGGCCCCACGGAAGATATAGAATGCTCTATTTTAAATTAGAATTATCAAAAACTCCACACCCTGGTAGGGAGAACCCTATCTCCCCTACTTGGTGGCGCCGTTAAATTGCAGTGCTCCCTCTTGCAGTTTTTTTTTTTTCTAGAAAACCCACGAGTTATAATATTTGGGGGTACCTTGACCTGGATTGCAAATGACCGGTACATGACAAAGCTAAGCTCAGGTTCTTGTTGTTGTGTTGGGCAAAATATTCATAACACACGAAGTCTCGGGGTCAGTGTATAGCAACGCCTGTGTTCGAATACTTTATACCCGTTAATAATGAACACACAAACAAAAACGTTATTTGGAAGGTGGATTTTCAACGGGATTTTCAAGCGCGAGCAAAACAAAAGCATACACCACGCCGATCGCGCGGTGACACATGTCGCGAGTACCAAAGAGACGCTACCCGTTTTACTCAATCAGCAGAGTAAGATCGACGTATATTTCGCGTTCTACGTAATACTCACAGGCTTATCGCCCTTTCAGCATTCATTGTGCTCCCCGCAGTTGCGTATCTTTGGTTATAGGTGACCCCTTTTGGCCAGCCAGCGCCGCCCTGTGGTCTTCCGGTAGTCGCCATTTTGTCTTGTTAAGATGACTCCATAGGTTACCTTCTAGTGACACTTCTGATATTCATTTTGATTTCTGGGTAATTGCGTCCTAATTTCATTTATAAAATTAAATCAATGTGTTTAATTAATTAATTAATTGATTAATTAATTAATAGATTCAATATGAGCTTAGAGTAAATCAGGTTATATTATGGGAGTCTGAATTGTAAGTAAAAATTGTTAACAAAGGCTGCCATAGTAACGTTCGACTGGCCTTCCGACTCCCCATGACCATCGGTGTCATTGACGCTGCAGTTCGGCGTCTTCTACATTGACGCTGCAGTTCGGCGTCTTCTACACCGATCTGACGCATATCGCGCTAGGTGTGCCGGGAGTTTGTTCGAAATTTCGAACGTTTCGAAGTCGATTGCCACGTATTTTACAGATATATTAAATCGTTTCAGAGACCTGTTTACTAAATAATGATAAATGAAACTTAGAAAACTTGTAAGAACAAACTGGGCCCAAATTGCGCAAATTGCAATAAGTTTACGCTGCTAGAGTCTGGTTCGGATGGAATTCTACGCGTGATTTTATTGCGCTCAAGGACGTTCTATTTTCGAGCTAGTTGAAACCGGAAAAATACGCAACTACTTTTGAACTTCAAACACAAATTTGTTTATCGTTATTATGTGTTAGTTTCTGTTGTTTCAAAAGATTGAATTATGTATGACAATAATATTTCACTCTATAAACAATATTTCACTAAAATATGTGATTCAAAGGCAACCCAAATTGTAAAAAGCAATATCAAGTTCCGCGTATAAACACTGTTGTAAAG